ATAAAATGACAGAGGGAACTGTGGAACATTGTCATTAACATCCAATAGATGCAGATGTATAGTTTCATTATCAGATAAGGGAGGCGTCCCTGCATCTGTCACAATGAGTGTGATGTCATATTCAGGCACTGATTCCCGGTCCAAGGGTTCAGACACTATGAGCTTGTAATGCATCGGTCCATCTGACGACTTATTGAGAATAAAAGGCAGGTTTTCATTTATGGACAAGCTCACTTTTCCATTATCGCCAGTGTCTCTGTCGCTTATGCCTACCAGTGCAATGACACTTCCTACTGGAATGTTTTCGTCCGCTGTGTTTTTAACAGACTGTATGGTAATTTCTGGATAATTGTCATTCATATCCATCACGTGGACGACTACTTTACACTGCCCCAGTAAGGGGTGTGTGCCTTTGTCTCTGGCCTCAATGTGCATCTCATACAATTTCATGTCTTCATAGTCAATAGTACCCTTCACGGTAATTTCCCCTGTTTTAGGATTTAATGCAAAGACATCTTGGGTTTTTTCGGAAGTATAAAGGGTGAATGAGTACACTATCTCTGAATTCAGACCTTCGTCAATATCTGTAGCGTTAAGCCTCGTCACTACGGTTCCTATCGGGGAATTTTCTGTCATATTAACTGAGTAAGTCTGCTTGTCAAACCGAGGAGGATTGTCGTTTGTATCCTGCACTCTAACAATAATATTGGCAGTGCCGGAGCGCACAGGGACCCCGCCGTCCACAGCAGTCAGTATTAAATTATGAACAGCATTCTCCTCTCTGTCTAAAGACTTGGTCAACACCAAATCAACATACTGGGTCCCATCACTGCCCGTCTGGATCTCAATGGTGAAATGTTCACTGACACTGAGTTTGTATGTTTTAATTGTATTTATACCAACATCTGGATCCACAGCATTAGGCAGGGAGAATCTCTCTCCTGGTGTTGCCGATTCTGAAACGTCAAGCTCTACTCGGTCTCGTCGAAAATGTGGAGCGTTATCATTTATGTCCGTTATTCCAAGTTCAATGTTGAAGATACGTAAGGGGCTTTCTATGATAACATCAAGCTTTAGAAAACAGGATGTTGTTTTCGTCGGACAAAGATATTCCCTGTCCATCTTTTCAACAACATACAACTCCCCTGTCTTTTTATTCACATCTAGATATTTCTTGTTATGGAAGATATCAAGTTTTACCTCTCGTTGTGCCAAACCTCCAAGCTCAAGTCCCAAATCCGCAGCGAGATTAGCCACAACAGAGCCCCTCTCCATCTCCTCGGCTATGGAGTACCGTGTCACAGACAAAGCGCTGGGCCATACTGCACACAAGACAAAGACAGTGGCCCACAGATCCATCCTTTCGTCTGCAGGAAACAAAACTCCAGATTCTAAAAACGTGTTTTTGTTGATTTTTAAGATCGGACTAAATCTCTGAGGACATATCTGAGGGTCGTGTTGTTAACTTAAAAATAAAAAGGACGTCTTCCAGAAAGCTGTGTCATACACCCTTTGCAAATGGGTGTGTCATGACTAGAGGAGAGAGATGCATTATGTATTAGTGGTCAACAGTGACACCGTGTGACAGAGACAACACATAGTGCAGTAACAATTCGTTTTCACAGGACAGTGACATGTAGCAGGAGGTCTGTATTAGTCTCTATAGGTTGAACATTTTTACTAGGATAGCATCCTAGGGATGTTGTTGACATTTGAGATAGCAGTGAGTGCCTGTTAGAGGAAACTCACTTCCTGATGAGAGATGCTTCCAAATATGTGACACATGTAAAATGATTGGATAATTAGGTAGTATGTTTAAATTCATTGAGCCAAAGAACATACTTGACAGAAGTCTGGGGTCAATTTGCAATGCTTGTGCACTGTATTCTATAATGTTGCCATGGGTTGAATAATATGCTGCTATATTTCTGAAGTGTAGGAAAACCTTGTCATTTACTATGTGTTCTGAGGGATCCTAAAATGAATTATGTTTCTTTGTCACCTTACAGATAGTGTGAGCCTAGTTTACAGACCCTCACACTCATCTTCAGTTCCTCTCACTTAGTTCAGTTTATATTCACATTAGATTGGGTTTTTTTCTATTAGGGGGATTGTTATCAATGCTCCTGGCAAAATATTTGATATGATATGATAAAATATTATTATATTATATTTTACATCACTCATATATAGCTACAGTACATTATGAAATCATGAACATGTGTAAGATGAGAATACATCGTCCCAGCAGTAGTTGCCATTTTTAAAGAAGACAGAACTATCATATGCCCAAGGTGGACAAGGTAGTGAATAGTTTACACATGTTATTTGGGGCATTTTTAGCTAAAGTGGCAAAACTAAAGGGTACACCTACAATATAGCCCAGTGCAATCCAATAACACCACAGGATTAAAAAAAAATGTTATAGAGCTTAATCAGACTGTGGACACAAAAAGTGAATATTATAAGTTAAAAAAAATATTTAATTATTGCCTGCAGGGTTATTGTATTGAATCATATATTATAATGTGTTACTGTTAAGTTTTTCCAAACCCCTTTGCAGGATAGGCAATTGTAACAGATTATAACAGGTTCTTTTCTGTAGCCCCAATTTACAGATGTTCCCTGAACGCCTCGCAGGCGGAGAGCACCCAACGCAGACAGGTGTTTGAGAGTCAAATAAGAAACGTCAGAGAGAGAAACCCGCTGAGCAGTAGAGTGGCTGGTCAGTTAGCTACCTGAAGCTAGCTGGTTAGCGTTAAGATTTTGTTGCAATGTAGTTGAATGGTGTTATTTTTGCTTTAAGACATGTGGTAAAGCAAAAGCAGTGAGGCTTTAACGCTGTGTCTGATGATGTGTAGTATGGTTGTTTGTAAGGAGGTGCAACATGCACAGCTACTGATCTGGCTAGAAGTTTGAAGTGTGGTTAAAGCTGATGTGTATGTGCTGTAAAAATGTCAAAAGTGTATTGTTTTGAAATTGAAGTAACAAAATAAAATAAAGAAACAATTTACTTAAGGAATGTTTATTGTAGTTATTTCAAAGGGTTGTTTATGTAGCCTGGTCTGATATGATGGGCAGTGAAACAGGAACATTTAGGACTACATGATAACTGCACACTTGTATGCAGGCTGATTTTTGACAACGTGGAGCTGCTTCATCTGCTGTCTGGGCCATCATCGCTGCTTGTGGATGCCTTCATCTTGTCCTGATATCTTGAAGAGGCCCAAGGTTGACTGACAACCTTAAAGTAACATTCAAAGCAAAGAAATTAAAAAAAAAAGGAAATAAGCAATTTATAAATTAATTGTATGCTTTTATTATATAGCAAAATACACTGATCAGCCATAACATTACGACCACTGACAGGTGAAGTGAATAACACTGATTATCTGGTTATCATGACACCTGTCAGTGGGTGGGACCATATCAGACAGCAAGTGACATTTTGTCCTCAAAGTTGATGTTTAAACTGGTCAAATTAGCAACAACACATGAAGCTCTTCCAGTGACAGGCATTGAATAATTACATACAGGCATAATTCCTTACGGAATTAATTATTTGTTCCGCCCGAGTGTTTCACCCGAGCGCCTTTTAGAGACGCACCGAGAAAACTTTCCCGCGAAAGAGAATGCCGTTTCCACTGTTGTTGTCATAATTACATAAGTTAATGAAGGAAAAATAGAAGAAGAGACGGGAGATTTCAAAGGATGTTTAGCACCTCTTCGTGATAAGCAGCAATGAGGTTTGTTGGCTGTTTATCTGCTGTGAAGGTGTAATTGATTATTGTGTTTACATGTGTCATTTTCGGTTTATTCAATCAAACTGTAAAGTGTCTAGCTGTATATATGCTTGGTTATAGCACAAGATGTATGAGACATACAGCATTATTTTTGTTAATTTATTTTTTCTTTCTTTAAACCCGTTCTCACGGGTTGACCAGCAATAAAGCCCTGTATTTTAATCAAGACCTCTTGCCTCATGCCTGTCACTGGAGGAGCTAACTTTATATGATTCTTTGTTAGTATAACATAAGCGATTAGCGCAGTTTTAATGATAATTTTAATCTTCTTTGTTGAGTTTTTAGGATAAAATGCATCTGATATAATACAAATCACTAACTTTTAGAACAGTACATTCTATAAATATAAAATAAACTGTTTTATTTAACGGTTCGTGAACATAATTATGAACCTTATACTATACCTCTCAATCTGCAGCTAGAAATAATATATTTTTTCTAGCTGCATTTAAAACATTTTAAAAGTTTTGATTTCAACAATTTAATATTTATTTTAAATGTCATACAAAAGTCCTGTACCTTAAGATACATTTCAGTGTGTCACTTACCTGAAGCATTTTTTATCATAATACTGTAGCGTGTCTTTGTCTTTTGCAGACTGAAACCTTTATCTATCAGAATCTGTTGGTTTACATTAGTCCTTCTTGTGTGCTTCATGTTGCAGTCTTGCCACTAGATGGCAGTGCATCATTTTAATTGACACTGGCTGAGCATAAGTTAACACCATCAATCACATGCTTGAATTTTATAAACATTCAGCAGTCCTTTTTTTCTGGAATGTCTCATTTTTGGAATATTTGCTGGCTTACAGTTACTACTAACCTGATAAATCTGATACAACCTCCCACTCCTCCACCATTACTCTCCTCACCTCTACTTACTATCATCTACTCCCCATGCACCACTGCTCCACACATTTCCTACATGAAAGTGATAGTGTATTTTTGGAATTTAGTCTTTTCCTTACAACAAAGTTGTAAGTAAGGAAAAAAAATGCTATTTTCTAAGGTGTCTGTTTTTTTTTTTTATCATAAATATATCTCATATTGTACATCATTATTGTAAAAATTCATTAATACATTTAAACATACTAACTAATTTCAGTTAAGTAAATACTGTTTTTATGCATCACACCAAATTTAAAAGTCATTATATTGTAGTATTGTCAGTGTTATATAAGAGTTATGTGGCTTGGTAGCCATTTTCCCAAGTATCCCCCATATCACCAAATCATGTTCATATAAATCTGAAATAAAATGATGTGAAGATTGTTGCTCCCTCAGCCTCCCTCTACTGCAGACGGTTGTGAATAAACGGAGCTGCAGGTCTCACCACTGAGGACTACTGGGAGGTCTCTTCAGATTCCTGTCTGACAGCGAGGGTCCTCCACTCTCTCTGGAGAGCCCCTTCACCCCCAGAGCAAGACCTGAGCCCTGGCTACACACACACACACACACACACACACCCTCAATATTGTCAGACAAATTATGTACACTGATTTGGCCTCTGCGTGGCTGGAGAGG